AAAGAGCCAAATGAGTATGATAACTCATGCCTATAATCCTAACTACATGGGAGGATGAGATTGGAAGGATTGCAGTTCAAGGACAGCCCAGGCAAAAAGTTTGTGGGAGCTCATTTCAATAGAAAAGGCTGGATATGGTGGTGCACACCCATTTCCACAGAACAGTGGGAAGCCTAAGAAAAGAAGGTTATAGTCCAGGCTGGCCCAATCAAAAAGAAAGACCTTACCTCAAAAATAACCAGAGCAAAAAGGGCTGGAGGCATGGATCAAGTCATAGAGAACCTGTCTAGGAAGTGTGAAGCTCTGAGTTCAGACCCCATTATGACAAAAATTTTAAAAGGACTCAAAGTGCGTATGAAATTATTATTACTATGAAATGACCCATACTGGTTTGTAGGCAGTAGACCATGACACTCATACATTTCAATATATTTCATATATTGCTTGCCTGTATTACCTGATTAACGGATCAGATCCATAATCATCAATTCATTGGCTTATGTTAATAATAAAAATTATTCAAAATAAAATTAGTTGTTGTCAGCATACGAGGTATGGAGTCATAGGACACAACAGGAAATGCAATATTTACTAGGATAGTCACAGATCTTATCTTCACAAAGCTTAGGAATTACAATCACATCTTACAAACTCTCTCAAATATAGAGCTTAAAACTGAAGACAAGTAAATTCAAGAGGCCTTGCCAACTGCCAAAGCAAGTTAGTAACAGGGCAATGTGCAAACCTGACTGCTTGTAAAGGCTAAATTCTCAACCATATACCAGCCAGGGATGATTTACTACATAAAGCAAAGAATAAATTAACCATGGTGATCTAGCATTCATTTCTAGAAGAATCTAAAACATCACTCAGCAAAATAATATTATTCTATACATAAAAATGTATAATAGTCAGACAAATATTTCAAATATAATACAAGCCATTATGCTTTATAAAGATAGATGCAAAAATCCTCAGCAAAATATTAGCAAACCAAACTCGTCAGCAAACCAGGAAGAATTGCATACAAGATCAAGTGGGATTTATTCCAAGAATGGGAAGGAGATTCAATATATGCAAATCAAATGATTTCATTTGACAAGGAAACTTCTTCAACATGATAAAAGCTAATTTTACACTTGGTTATGATAGACTTACTGCTCCCTTTTAAGATCAACAACAAGAAAAGAATGCCAGCTTTTAACAGGTTGTGTATCAAATAGTGGCAGAGATGCACAGAAATTGGATCACACATTGCTAACAGGCTTAGCCACTGTGTTAAGTTTGCCAATTGTGCAATAACATAATCATAGAATGACCATATAACTCTAGGTTTATGCCTAAAAGAATTAAAAACAGATCTTCAAACAAGAACTTTTATGTCAATGTTCATAATAGCCACAATAGCCAGAATGTGGAAACAAACCAAATGTTCATCAACATACGAATAAACTAAAAGTTGCAGAGTTATAGAATGGAATATTATTCAGATATAAAAAGAATAAATTTCTGACACAGGTTACAACATGGATAAACCTGGAAAATATACAAAGTGAAAGAAACCGGACACAAAGGCCACATATTACATGATTCCATTTATATGGAATATTCAAAATGGGCAAATTCATAGAGACAGAAAGCAGATAGTGATTGCCAGGGCTGGGCACAGTGGGAAATAATTGGCTGCCTAACAGGTGTACATTTTCTATTTGGGGTGATGAGAAAATTTTGGAATTAGATAGTGGTGACGGTCATAGAATATTTTGAATTCATTACATTGATTTGAACACGATGAAATAGTAACAATGATAAATTTATATGTCATGTGTTTTTACCATGATAAAAATAAACTTATCCATTAAGGAAAATGCAAGCTCATCACTGAGGCATACACCAATGACAAAATTATGGGATTAAAAGTCTACAGCATCTAGTGCCAAAATTAGTACAATACGCAAATATTTCAGACAATCTGCCTAACTCCATGGCAAATTCCTGCTGAAAGAGACTTAATTCTCATGTTTTATAAACAATGTCTGACAATGTACAAACCTAAAATAATCTTCTACTAATAAAAAGAAACTCAGTGAGTATATTACAATGAAGTTGTAATTATGCCACAGGGAAAAGAAATCCCCGAAGCCTCTTTCTCTCTAATTTTCCTCCCCTGACACACCACCATCTGGTCTCCCTCCCAAAAGCTCCAGGGAATGAAGTAGTTTTCTTGACCTGAGGGCTTCATGGAACACTTTGTACTCAGGGTCAGACTGTATTTCCATTCTGGAGATACCAAGAGGCGTGCTCACCTCTTTGACTACTGATTTTCTCTGGAAAAATAAATTCTTTTTATACTTCAAACATATTCTGATTTAAAGACTTAAAAATGTGTCCTTTAGACATGGTTTAAACAAAATATACCATGTCTGCCATCACTGACTTGGAGAATTCCAATATGGCGGTAGGGTGGCTTTAAAATCTGGCTGATCTCATTTTTAGTGCCATGTACACAAAACCAATGGATGTTACTAATCCTTGAAATAAAGTATTGCCCATCTGTGACACTTCAACCCTGCCTAAAGTGAGATGCCACTGCTAGTTCACCATTGGTAAGTGATGTCTGTGGGTTGGTCTATTTTTTATGGTATTTATGATCTCAGTTTACAGACTTTTGTCTACTTTAAATCAAGGCTGATGAGCATGGATTCATTTACATGATCTCATTTCCTCTTCCTGTGGTTTTAGACATGTTAGCAGGTTGCTCACAGTCTGGAATACCATTTGTAACTGCATAGTTAACTCATATAAAACAGAGTCTCATGACATTTCCATAACTGTCACCATGCCAACTTTCTTTGTTCTAATAGCACAGTATTTGAGATGGGGGTCACATATCAAATAGTGAGTTTTTATTGTGAGAATTTTGGTAAAACTTGCAGATAAGCAAACCTCTTCCTTTACTGGGAATGTTGTTTACGTATAAGGAATCAACAGCTACTTGGGAGGTGGAGATCATGCTTGAAGCTCGAGGCCAGCTGGAACAAAAAGTTATTCAAAGCCCACCTCAAAAAACAAGCCAGATGTGTTGGTGCATGCTATAATCTCATATGGGAGGCTGAGGAGGATGATCATGGTCCAAAGCCAGTCCTAGGCAAAAAGTGCAAGACCCAATCTGAAATATAACTAAATCAAAAAGGACAGAGAACATGGTTCAAGGAGTAGAGCACTTAGCAAGGGCCTGAGTTCAAACTCTGGTACTTAAAAAAAAAAGAAGAATCAAGATATCCCGGGTTAGCTACAGTTATGCCAAGCCAAGCAGCTCTGGAATTTTGGAGATACCAATGAAATTTCTAGAAATAGGTCAGATCATCAGGAATGTTTTTCTTCTCAAGGATTCTACTCAATTATTATCTCATGAGTGATCTCATGGTGAGTATCTCTTGTTGACATTTGCTCATTTTCTGCATATTACCAACTAAGAGTCAACACAGTTCCTGTGTCTTCACAGAGGGCATGCTCACCCACAGGTGAAGAGGCACATGTCAACTTTGCCTTCTGTTTTTCAGTTCATCGGTGCTGACTCAGTTGCAGATAACTATCCTGATATCACCTCTTCTCTCCTCATCCTCATTTCTAAGCCCCCTGAGTTCTGATGAACTCAACTGCCTCCCCAACTGATCAGGGTTGGCATGAGTTCTTCTTGATTCTCTCTGTTCAGGGCATCAGTGCTCTTTTGGCCTGCTGTATGCAAACCACATGAGAATCCTGGAGCAGTGAGTCCATCCTCTCTGATACAATTTCTATATGTAAATTTTGGCAAATCACTAGAGCTCTCTGAGCCCTATTTCTACATATGCACAATGGACGACCTCATTGTAAATATTTATGAGGTACAACGTAATGGTTTGATTCATACAGGCACTGGCTAGAGATCAAGTCAGGCTAATTAGCGTATCACCTTGAACAGTCATCATTTCTTTGTGGTAAATACCTTTGAATACTGTCTTCAAGTAATTTCAAGATATAAAATATACAGTCATTTTATATATATATGTGTATATATATATATACATATATATATATATACCTCCACCCTACTGAGCCCAGAAAGCTAAAATTTAACATTGTACCCATTGATTACCCTCTCTCTCCTCAATCTCTGCTGATTATTGTTCTGCTCTCAACTTCTGTGAGATCAACTGTTTTAGATTCCACATGAATGAGATCATACATAGAATGTGTTTCAAAAACACTATGAATGTACATGTGTGCTCATCTTTACTTTGATCAACTTCTAGTTACAGGAATAGGTAAGTTTCACTCTGAGATTTTAAGAAAACTGAACATTTACAGATACACTCTTCTCCAAATCTGGATGAACTCTAATTATGATAAATTAATTCATTTTTTTAAAAATGCAAGCTAGAATAAGTTAATATTTCTGTACAAAAGGGTTCCCAAAGTTTTCAGGAACATCTGAAACAGACTGAGATGTTACAGTCTGTTTCTTTGTGGTAAATACATTTGTTCCACAACTGGAGCTACCCCGGGATATCTTGATTCTTCTTTTTTTTTTAGTACTGGGGTTTGAACTCAGGGCCTTGCTAAGTGCTCTACTCCTTGAACCACGTCCCCTGTCCTTTTTGATTTAGTTATTTTTCAGATTGGGTCTTGTACTTTTTGCCTAAGACTGGCTTTGGACCATATTTGTCCTCTTCAGCCTCCCACATCCAAGTGTTGTCATTATAAGCAACATAAAGAATCAGTGCAAAGCATTAAGCATAGATATGCATTTTCCCCAGACTATGCATGTTTCCAAGTCCTTTATCACACATTCCAAATTGGCCATCAGGAGAATAATGCAAAGCCATCCATACAGAATTTTGAGAGAATTAGGTATACAGTTTATCTCTCCTGTCTGCAAACTGATGTAATCACTTTATGTTCATATGCGGTGCTCCTCTCTGACAGTGGACTTTTTGCCCCTCCCCCTGCTGCATATGATGATGGAAGAAACAAACGGAAGTTCTCCACACATATTTGTGCTGCTGGGCTTCTCCGCACAGCCTTCGCTGGAACTTGTCCTCTTCATATTGGTCTCTGGGTTTTATGTGGTATCTGTCTTGGGCAATGGCATCATCATTTTGGTCTCCTGTAAGGATATGTGTCTCCATACACCTATGTACTTTTTTCTTGCCAACCTCTCCTTACTGGACATTAGCTTCACCACAACCATTGTCCCACAACTCCTGGTCAACCTCTGGGGACCACAGAAAACCATAAGCTATGGAGGGTGTGTAGTCCAGTTCTATATCTCCCATTGGTTGGGGGCAACTGAGTATGTCCTCCTGGCTGTCATGGCCTACGATCGCTATGCTGCCATCTGCAGGCCTCTGCACTATACTGTCATTATGCGCCCACAGCTTTGCCTCTGCCTGGCCTCAGTCTCTTGGCTTGGGGGTCTGACTACTAGCATGGTGGGCTCCACACTCACCATGCTCTTACCACTATGTGGGAACAATCACATTGACCACTTCTTTTGTGAGATGCCCCTCATTATGCAACTGGCTTGTGTGGACACCAGCCTCAATGAGGTGGAGATGTACCTGGCCAGTTTTATCTTTGTTGTCTTGCCTCTGTGTCTCATCTTGGTCTCATATGGACATATTGCCCAGGCTGTGCTGAAGATAAGATCTGCAGAAGGGTGTAGAAAGGCTTTCAACACTTGCTCATCCCATGTGGCAGTGGTGTCCTTGTTTTATGGAAGCATCATCTTCATGTATTTCCAGCCAGCCAAGAGCAACTCTCATGAGCAAGGCAAGTTCATCGCTCTCTTCTACACCATTGTCACCCCGATGCTGAATCCCTTAATTTACACTCTGAGGAACAAGGATGTGAAGAATGCTTTTGGTCACATTGTGGCAGAAGACTGCTGTCGCTTTACAGAGTTGCAGGGGCCAATCTAGAGAACCTAGTCATTTCTGAGGAGGAAGGATGAGTTTAAACATCTTGAAATTGATTTTGAAGGGTAGAATATTTGGAATATCATTCCTCTTCTAATATCACTTGAGTGCAAGGTATGTGGAAATCTGAAGAGAGTGTTTTCCTGCACTATTTCAAGCCAAAGTAAAGAGAAAATGTTTTGTCATTATTTTTCATTAATCATCAAATTCTTTTTTTCTTTTTGATTATTTTATTGTTGTGCTGGGAGGGGGTACATTGTGGCATTTACAAAAGTTCTTGCAATGTATCAAATGAAATATATCTACTTGAATTCACCCCCTCCATCATTATCCTTTATCCTTCTAACCCCCATTCTTGAAATACAAATTCTTTTACTTGCTTTATTGTGGATTCTTATATATATTGCATATGTTGTATCTCATTTTGTTCATATGGTTGTATATATGTGTTACACATATCTATGTTAATTTGTATATTATTTTGTTAGCTGTTTATAATAATGTCTGCCATTGAGGGCACCTAATCAGTGTGAAGATTTTTCCATTTTTTCCAATGCCTGTAATGACTCAGTGAGATAGATATTGACATCCCTATAAAGATTAGGTAATTACAGACTTACTGAGAGTTTATACAAAGTCTATTTCTATCTATCCATATGTGTGCTTACAATTTTACTCATTAGCCTTATGTGGTTATAATAAAAAATACATATTTGGTATTTGCCCTATTTCCTGGCATAGAATTCCTAAAACCCTTGCAGTTACCTTGGTGATAGGCACAATCAGAATGTGTTTTCTTATTCACACTTCAGTTTATACTGATAATGTGGCTCTTGTTGGGCCCTAAATAGCTTCAGAAAGGGACTTGTCTCCAGAGGAACTAGTCATGGGTTAGAAGATGGGACCTTTCATTCCCATCCTCAGACTTCCTAAGAGGAGAAGCTGGAGACTGAGTTCAGTCACCAAACATTGAAGACACAATCAAGACTATGTAATGGAATCTCAAAAAAATCCCCAAATGTTGGGGCTCTGAGGGCTTCTGAGTTGCTCAACACATCTAAATGCCAGGAGTGTGGTGCATTCCAAACTCTACACAGACAAAAGGTCCTATGTCCCTCTTCATCTGGCTATTTGTTTGTGCTCTCCAAAATAGCCTTTACAATAAATAAGTAAATGTAAGTCTTGACTTGTGTGAGACATCCTAGTAACCCTGGTGACAAGTACCTCTGACTAGTAGCCAAGTGATCAGGATAACCTGAGAGTTATGATTACTGTCTGGACTGAGGACAGTCTTATGAGATGAGCCCATACACTGTGGAGCCCAACACTAATTCCAACAAGTTAGTTTTAGAATTGATTGAATGGCAGGAGACCTAGAGAGTTGGAGAATCTCCAACTGGTATCATAAGTGTTATGACTAAAACAGTCCTTCTCCTTAAAATGGATGAATCTAAAGAGGCAAATGTCTCAAGAACAGAACTTTGACTTTGAATTGTCAGTAAATTATTGGTTTCACCAGAAATAGGCTAGACTGATTTAGCTAGGAAAAAACAGTATAGATTTTCCTGGTAAGCTCTAGACCCTATTCAAGCTATCTAAGGATGTTCTTTACTACTTCACTAGTATATTTGTTTACTTTTTCTTATATCTAATCAAGCATTCATCATTATTAAAATCAAACCTATTTCTGCAGGTTGTACGAACCAGCACACAACACTGCCCCAAATCAGGTGAATCAAGTTCACAGAAGTGTCACTGGCTTTGTCGATTTAAAGTTCTAGACAGTATGATAAATTTGGTAACAACCATTTAGAGATGAGAAAATTCTGATTAGAGAGAAATATCATGTTTATGTTCATCTTTGAACATAATATAAGTGGGGAGACCAGAATATCATCTAATCAGTGCACAGCATTGAGATAAAAACCTTATACTTCACATATCTGTTTTTAAAAAAAGGAAGAAATCTCAAATTCTTCTAGCCTCATCATAGAAACACATATGCCTAATACATCACATCTACTGGCCTGTTTTAATCAGTTCTCTACTTTATATACCATCACCCAAACTTCTCTGTAAAGCATTCTAGGTATGAGACCCAGAAGCTGAGCAATCCACCACCCTGCCCCATGGGAATAGTATCTCCTCCTTCCTCTGAGTTAATTAGATAATGGTACACTGTCACTACTCTCAAGGACAGTAAAGGGACTGTCACTACTCTCAGGCAACAATGAAATTGGAGCTTACACCTGAAAACAGAAGGGCTAAGTGGGGGCAGATATCTGGCAGAAGCCATGAACTTTGTGGGGGCAGGGACAGGTCCTGGATGGCACCCCTGGTGAATAAAAATGGAGAATCAATGTTCCCTGACTCTGCCTCATCTTTCCCATCCCCTGGCATGACCTCCCATTGAATTCCCTGACCACAGCTGAAGGACAGCCACCTACTGGTCTGATTCATGTAGGTAGGGCACTGCATCATCTGGAGAGAGTGAAGAATGGATCTAAAGGACTGGGACTTCATTGGAAATGTTCTTGGTCTCCATCCTTGTCCATCATTAAGTAAAGTGTGAAGTTCACATTACCAATTCCAGGGACACTGGCTACCACATCTTCAAGAACTGATGTCAAAGAGATCCAACATGGTGGTTAGGGTGGGGGATCAGAAATCCTAAGCTCCATGACTCAAGAAACCACCTTGAGACATTGGAGCTACACTTGAGTAATTCTGATTGCTTCTAGACAAAAAAATAACATGCCAACACATTAGGTGCACATAAAACTCAAGGACTGACTTTTAAAACTGCTTTTAACTGTACTTAACAGCCAGGAAAATCCCATGCAGCATAGGCAGCAAGGCATTTCCTGCCCTGGGAAAAAAGCCCACAGGTCATTCCTTTTTCTCCTCTCAAAAAGGAGAAGATAAAGCATCAATCAGCATTGAACTCTGTTACATCCAGCACCCCTAACCTATGGAAAGCCTCTCTATGCCACACCATGCTGAGAGAAGTGGCATGCCATTTCTCCCCACCAGCCAGATCCAAGGCTGCTTACATGAATCTGCAGAATGAACAAATAAGCATCACACCACACGTGACTCCCTTACCCGAACCCCTGGAACATAATCCAGTTCAGCCCCTGGGCAGATTGAATCCCCACACACACACCAAAACGGAAAAGCATAAACAGTAAATGGCAATCTAACTCTGACAGCAGAGGTAGGGGTGGAACACTGAATCTGTGCCACAGAATGACAGTGGGGCAAGGAGCCAAACTCTCAGTGAATGACTGCAGGAAAAGCAACAAAGTCTGACACCAGGGGTGGGGCAACAAGCCAACCTCTCAGAGGAGCTGAACTAGCACTGAGCAGAGGTCAGGAGTGGCACAAAGTCTGAGAGCAGGGGTGGGGCAAGAAGCCAACCACCCAAATCAGGTCAGATAGTGGATATCAGACCTGATATCATGGGATAGAGTGGAGTACTCAAAAGTGAATTGCCCCACCTTGCTGGGGTAGGAGTCAACCAAACAGAGTTGTGACTGTAGGGAAATGCAGCTACCACCTGATGAAAACAACTACAGCTTTGGCCACACTTCATAAACTGGCAGTAAGCTACATCAGCTCCCAATTGCAACTTGCCCAGTGGACAGAAGGAACCAAATAGTACTCACAAACCAATCACCTGGTGAGACCACATCAGAGCTCTTGCTTGAACACCAATAACAGGATTGGATGCCAAAGGAATAACTCCAGAACTTTTACCAAACAGACTGAAATTTTAGTTGTGAAACAACAACTAAAAGGTTTTATTTCTTTTTTTTCTTCTTCTGTATTATTAAATTTACCATCACTATTTGCTTATTGCTATTCTTACCCACTTCGATTTCCCTCCTTTGCCTGTTTTACAATCCATGGTTCTCCCTCCCAACTACTCTTTCTGCCCCTTTTCATCTACTTTCTACCCCATCTTTACTTCCCCCTCCTATCCTTCCCCAACCTGTCACCACACTACCCCTCCATTCTACTTACCCACCACCCACTGACTAGATTACTGTACCAATTGTATACACCCCATACCCTTGCAATCCATAACACAAGCACCTTCCACTACAACAATAGAAATACACCCAAATACACATAAGGGACACAAAACCCAACAGCACCCATAACTCTTCCTCTACCTACCCATGCCCCTTTCCACCTCCACTTTTAATGCCAACTTTACCAATTACCCAAGTTTCCATATTTAGCCTAATAACCATTACCTCCCACCCAACTCCCACTGTTTATAGATATTATCACCAAGGGGTTTTCTATATAATATATAAACAACTGGCCTGGCATCGAACCTGTTGAATTTGTTATTTGTTATTGCTAAATTACACCCCCAGGCCAGGGACAGAAAGAGCACATCAACCTAGCTAACAACCAAGTCAGTCGCAAAATAAAAATTAAAACAAGGGAAAGGAAACAGGCAATTAAAACCACCAACTAGCCCATCAAGAACATAGTAGCACAGTACCAAGTGGAGTGGTGGGAAGAAGAAGAAAGGATGGAAACCACACTCCTCAAGAAAATAATTCAATAGAGGATTCAGTAGGAAATGAAGAAAATGGATACCCAGATCCTGACCCCAACAAAACCATGATAAATGTTACTAAGAAGCCCAGTGACGCTTACCAAAAAAAAAACACTCAAGGAGGAAATATTGGAATAAATCACAGAGAAACTTATGGAGACATGCTTAACCAGAATGTACAAGATGAACTCAAGAAATTCCAAGACACCAAAAATGAAGAGTATGAGAAGACAAGGAAATAAATGAACTCAGAGAGGACTTCAATAAGCAACAAAGTGAAACAAAAGACACTATAAAAAAAGAGATATATGAATTAAAGGAAACAACACAAAATATAAAAGAGGAGTTTAACAAAGATACCAAAAACGTCAGGAAAAAATAATCAAACAAATCCTGGAAATAAAAAGTTCCTTTAGTCAAACAAACA